GCCATGAAACAGACCTCATCGTCATTATCGTTCTTGTCGACGTCTCCCATTAAGCACAATGTCGAGAAAACCTCCTCCATCTCGGGATCATTCTCACCATCATCATCTTAGGTCACCATCATTGATTTTCCATGATTCTTTAGCAATGGACATTTATCTTTCAAATGATCTGGTTTTCTACAATTGAAACAATTAGATTGATAAGCTTTATACGGCTCAGAAGATTTTACAAGAAAAAATTGTTAAAACGACTGAGGTTCTTAGCCATTTCTGCTCTGCCCCTCGGGGTTCTAATGATCTTCTTGAAGCCTCAAACCATCATGGCTTGCTCTTCATCAAAATCATTTTCACTGTCATCCTCTGCCTTTAAAGCAAGCGGCTTCTTGCCTTGGTTCTCCTCTGAATCCCGTATCTCACACGCTTTGAGCTCCATCTCATGAGTCATCAAATTCCCAATGAGCTCCTGTAAGTTTAGACAGTTGAGATCTTTTGCTTCTTGAATAGCAGTGACCTTCGACTCGAAGCTTCGCGGAAGTACGCGCAAGATCTTCCTTACGAACTCAACTTTTGTATATGACCTGCCAAGCGCTTTTGAGTTGTACACAATGTGGCTGAATCTTGCGTACATGTCATGTATACTCTCGTTTGGCTGCATTCAGAATGCCTCGTACTCATGACTCATTAGCGCCAACCTGGATTCCTTGACTTGTGAAGTGCCCTCGTGTGTAACCTCCAGGGTGTGCCAGATTTCCTGCGTATTAGAATAATGAGATATGTGATTAAATTCAGTACGATCTAAAGCACATATAATGTCATTCATTGCTTTATTATTTAAAGAATGTGACTTTTTATCATCTATGTCCCACTTATCCTCTGGTTTCGTAATGTCTGTGCCTTGAATACGTGTAACAGGTGGTGTGTAACCTTTAACGACTATATCCCACACTTCAAAGTCAACTGACGCTAAGTAGATTCTCATTCTAGCTTTCCAGTAAGCATAATTTGTCCTATTAAATCTAGGTGGCCTAACAGTTGACTATCCCTCAGCAAAATCACTATCATTAGTGTCCATGATAAATCTAGGTTTTCCTAATCTCGAATCAGAATATGATTATAAGTCTAAACTAGGCTCTGATACCACTTATTAGATCGAGGAATAGCTAATTCCCATGAACTACAACCCCGTAGTCCGCAACCCAACCTAAAATAGATTTAGAGTCCAAAATAAGTGTAAAAGACAATATTGTATTTGTCGCATCGATCTGGATTTTTTTGAAGTAGCACTCACTATAAAACTAGTATTGTCACGTCCATCTCTGAGTCTACTTAGCATAACTTTTGACGGATCGCAAAAATGAGATTTTTACGAATTTCTACAAATTTTTGAGCGAAGTCTACGCAAGGAGGAGGATCTGTGTATTCTGTTGTCTTTGTTGTGTCGATCTGGAATTTTCTGAAGTATTACTCACAATAAAGATAGTATTGGCACATCCGTCTCTGAGTCTACTTCGTACAGCTTCTCACCGATTGCAAAACGGAGATTTTTGTGAATTTCTATGAATTTTTGAGCGAAACCTGCGCAAGGAAGAGTATCTGCGAATTCTGCGGTATTCAGCTCTCTTTTTTTCATTAATCTAACTCTCTGCCGCCATTAACAGCTTTTAAGTAGGCTTTGCTAACCCTAATCTACTTAGGATTTAATTCTGCCCCTTGGATATGACATGTGGCACAATCGGGGGCCATAGAAAAGTCAAAACACCCTTAAAACACTCTGTACACATATAGGTATAGGACTCTGTATTTGTACCGCTTTTTCTACACTCCATATGTCAAGTGACACGCAATTATTGGATAAAATATCCTCCCGCGGTCCCTTGCCTATTTTTCTCTCTCCCTTCAACAGTGCACTCATGTGAGGTGGGACCCGCTTGCAGCTGAAATCACGCGCATTTGATGCGCACCGCTGGATCAACGCAAAGCTGAACGGATCGGAGACACGTGGCCTGTAGTGATGAGATATGCATAATAAATCCTAGCTGGGCCTGTTTGTGTGGGTTTTTTCCTGCATATTTTGAACTAGGCCTTGCGGAAATCTTGTAAAACAAATTTTCTTGGACGTTGGAAATAGTATGCACATATATATATGTATAGTATATAAGTATATATGTATATATATATATATATATATATATATATATATATATATATATATATATATAGGGTTGTCACCTGTTATTACACAATAACAACGAGTGTACAAAAGCATCATTATACAACAACAACGGGAATGTAAAACCATCATTTAAAGTAATAATGGAAAAATATCCCCGTCACTGATGGTAATAATGGGAAATATCCCTGACACTAATGGTAACAACGGAAAAAAATCCCCATCACTGATGGTAATGACGGTGATAATTACTATCGCAGATATGAACGATGGTAATATGTTCTGTCACTATAGACTCTATAACGACGGGTATCATAACCTTCGTGACACTTTAGCGAAGAAGGCTTCTACGACGGGTGACGAAGGGATTTTTTTTCCTGTCGGTGGCATACAATAACGAAGGTTTTCAGTTCTTTAACGACGGGTGACGAAGGGATTTTTTTCCTGTCGGTGGCTACACACACATACAAAAAGCCTTATAGATGAATGGGGTGTAATGCAGCTATGAACAATGCATAGTTATAGTGCTAACCTCAGTTGTTTTCGTATAGATAATAAAAATTAGTTGATTGCATTCATATCCATGTTCTTATCCGTGAGTAGCAAATGGATATGAATTTGTAAATATTGTTATCTGACCAATATCCCATCTGTTTTCACCCCTGTTACAGCACTATTGTAATTACATATCAAAATGCATTATATATCAAACAAGCGTCAATTTTTCCCATCCTGTGCAACAAATCACAAGCGTTGTGCATTTCGGATGCACATTATTCATAAATGACGATCTAAAAGTACACAGAAAAGTTAGAGACCTGCTCCTTGCTTGTTCGAATTGCATCGTAGGATAGGATAAAGTGAGTATAAATATATAGTATAATATAATAGTTAGTTGGTACTAGCCTATATAAACGTATATGATTTATTTTATTAGAGAGAGAGGAGAGAAGAAGAGAAGAGAGAGCAGAGAAGAAATGGGTAACTGTGTACCAAGGATCCGTTGGTAGTGCATGTTGGACACATCTTGTCCAGTACATCATGCACCTTGATGATGGAGCCTCACCAACTCGTCAATGTGTGATTGTATGGACAAGATGTGTCACAATCACTACAAAGGATCCTTGCGCCCAAGGTATACCCGATATTCCTGTATATTATATATATATATATAGTCTATTATATATTGATATATATATAGGATATATATATATATATATATATATATATACTATATATATATATATATATATTTAATAAACCAATCCATGTACGAACTTCTTTTGCTTCTATATTGTATCTTCCCTTATATTTTGTATAAAGCCTGTAGAAATAAGATCATGTCAATTATTTTTAAATTAGTTACTTTCCTTTCTTTACTGCATACAGACAATATATATAGAAATGGTTCAAGAGATTGAGATTCCACATGGTCAACTTTTTATCACAAGCTTTTATCAGGATATCCTACACCATTCCATTGCAACCCTCACGGACACTCCATCGTTGTAACTCTTTCTTTGATATATAAGTGGATAAATTACACTAAAACACCCCAGAACTTTCAGAATTTTGCCATGCACAAACCCCAATAACTTTCAAAACCACACTAAATAACCCTAATTGCTTTTGGATTTGCAGAAGAACAAATTTTTTAAACAGACTCATTTCAATTTTTAATTTTCAAAACCGACTCTTTTTTTTTTTATTTACCAAAACCGACCCGATTTTATGATTAGCAGATTAATCACCTTCCTAAATAGTCGGGGTTGGCAACCCCGACTATTTAGGACGGTGTTAAACCCTAATTAGAAGCATTAAACCCTAAAAATTAATGTCCTAAATAGTCGGGGTTGCCAACCCCGACTATTTAGGAAGGTGATTAGTCTGCTAATCACAAAATCGGGTCGGTTTTGGTAAATAAAAAAAAAAAGAGTCGGTTTTGAAAATAAAAAGTTGGAATGGGTCTGTTTAAAAAATTTGTTCTTTGCAGAAAATTCCCAATGTATAAATTTCTGCAATTTGCAGATAAATCCCGTAATTGAAATCCAAATGCAACATAAAAAGACATTCTGAAAGTTATTGAGGGTAGTGTAACTTACCCGAAACATTATGAGAGGGTTTTCTACAAAATTAAGTTACTGGGGGTTTAGTACAATTTTGAAAGTTATTGGGAGATCACTGCAAAATGCTAAATGTTACTGGGGTTTATCAGTGTAATTTAACCTAAATATTAGTTGCATCTCCTTCTCTCACCCTAATTTGGATAATTAGTTTGATCATGCTCTATTCTTTGCCATAATTATATTAACGACTTTTAATTGGTTAAATTATTTGGTAGAAAGATTACGACCGTTTCTGCTTTTTAGAAAAATCAATTTCACTTCATGAAACTTCACAGAAACCTTCTAATCTATTTATATAAAAAATAGGAGGTTCTTCAATCAAAATATTTCAACTGAGAATTTATAATCAAGTATATATATGAGGGATTTTAACCCAAAAAAAGAGTTCGGGCCCTTCACGATATTTTGACTACCAACATGATTATTTACTTAGGATGCCTTCTTTTAAGGTATGCAATTATATCCACATCAAAAAGAGATATTTACCTTGCTTTCTTAATGTATGCTTGTGTGTTGGCTGCACTGATCTGCGGCAAAAGCAAGTTTGTGGTTGAGCTCATAATCATAAGTCTTTTTCTTTTTCTCAAGGATTTTCTTTCCCATGAGAAATCTAGCTCCTATGTATATGGCCCTAAGGACAAACATCATACTTTTGTGGTTAGCTCAGCATTTTTCTTGTAACATACAATATTTTACACCATATGTCGACAAACCAACACCAAAGATTGAAACTTTGACCTCCAAGAGATATATGCAGCATACTCAATGAAAACAAGCAAAATGCCAATTCTCAAGAGTAACTTGCACTCCAATGATCTTCAAAAAAGGGTTACATGCATTCCTACAAAAGATCTTCCTTTCATTAGCTAGCTAGGATAATTCGTCGCATAGATACATAACTATAATATCTGACGTACTTTCTAACAATTGCCATAGTAGTCTATGGTTCTTGCTTCAATCCTCCTTTGCTTGTTAACCCTAGCAATGAAGTCTTCAACCCTCTTGTTCAATTCATCTAAGCCCCCATTGAGATCACCCTCTTCCACCTCTTCATATTTACTCTCTTCTCTGTCTTCTAGTACTACATCCTTCTTTACTGCATTCTCGCTAATGTTTAACCTTTGGAGGCTCTTGTTCCGGCTAACATACTCATCATAGATATCATAAGAAGGAGAAGGGATTGAGAGCTTAGACTGGCCAAAAAGAACGATAACGATGATATTGAAAATGACGAAGAGGCACTTGGTATCGACAATCACCATGAGAAGAGTCTTGAGGAGGGAGAAGGTGAAGGGGAGCCAAAGAGGGCTTGAGAGAAATAGGCCAAGGAAAATTGTTGCCAGAAAGAACTTGAGGAGGTCTTGGAGGAGCTTTGTTGTCTTTGATCTTCTATGACATTTCATGGCTTTGAGCTTCTCTATCATTATAGGATCCATGAAGAAGTGACGAATGAATTAGCTTTCAGAGTTGGAGGTGTAATTGATGAGATAGAAGTTAGAATATAATTAGAAAAATGAGGTTTAAATAAGAAGGGAAAGAAAATGCATTGGCTTAGCGTGATCCCTCCTTTTAAAAAGACTGCAGAGACTATTGGAGGCTTCTTTTGCTTTTTCTTTCTTTTCTTCACCACTTGTTTGATGTGGTGATATCGGCCTTTTTATGGATTCTTAACCATGCGGAAGAAATTAAACCACAAAAATCTTGCAAATTTTCTTAAGGTTAAGGAATAGCAAGGGAAGTTAACATAATAATTAGGACATGTGATCAATACAATTACTTCACTCGTCACAGGAAAGCGAATATCTCTCACACACACACACATGAACGTTTATAATTATTTCAACTGCAAGAATATGTATAAGAATCTTTGTCACCCATTGTAGCTTTCTTCAAATTTAGGGGCTGTTTAGTTCATTTCCTAGATATAGGGAAATGCAATTCCATGTAAAGAAACTCAAGTTTTGAGTTTTCCAAACTTTTCCAAGAAATAGATTGTTTTGGTTTGGTTCACACATAAAATAAGGTGGAAAATCAATGTATGTACTTTTTAGGGAAAAGTGTATATGGTCACCATGGTAAGATTACCCCCTACTAAAGATAAATTTATTTATGAACGTTATGTGAAGTAACCTTAACAAAATAAAAGTATGAATATAACATGAATAAATAGTCAATTACCAAATTCATTATAAATATCTGTTTGTCTTAAAAAATCATATGAAACCTGGAATAACATGATTCAATTGCTATAAACCGTGTACCTGATTTGACCTAAAATATACCTGTTTGAGATGAAAAAAATCACACGAATCATGTTTTCGAAGAAAAAATAAACGAGACATGTAATACATTAGTTCTTCATAATTTTATGAAATATGTACATGAATTAGTCAGAAATTCTTATAAAACCTATAAAAAATATATATAATCTAATTAGCCATAAATATGTATATACCATAGCAAATCGAATCAAACTTGCAAATACCAAACATGTATGTAATGGCTGAGGGCTCAGAATCTGGTCAATATCATCATTGTTACCCATCCAGTGCAATATCAATAGATATTACAAGTTGCTAATCTTAGAAATTTTGACAATCATCACAACCTAAGCAAAACTGCATGTACACGAGAAAATACCAATACGGGAGCTCGACGACGAGCACATATAGCAACCAAAAACCCAACAACATAGAACTAAACAAGCTTGAATCAACATAGTAACAAAAAACAGCCACGAGAGCTTGATGACGAGCATAAAAAGCAACCAAAAACCCAACAACATAGAGCTAAACAGGCTCGAAGGAACATAGTAACAAAAAACAGCCACGAGAGCTCGATGACGAGCACAAATAGCAACCACAAAACCCAACAACATAGAGCTAAACAAGCTCGAAGCAGCAAAGTAACAAAAAAACAGCCACGAGAGCTCGACGACGAGCACAAATAGCACACAAAAACCCAAAAACATAGAGCTAAACAAGCTTGAAGCAGCATAGTAACAAAAAACAGCCACGGGAGCTCGACAACGAGCACAAATAGCAACCACAAAACCCAACAACATAGAGCTAAACAAGCTCGAAGCAGCAAAGTAATAAAAAACAACCACGGGAGCTCGACGACGAGCATAAATAGCACACAAAAACCAAATAACATAGAGCTAAACAAGCTCGAAGCAGCATAGTAACAAAAAATAGCCACGGGAGTGTAGGTGTAAATTTTGATCTCCCGAAAACAGGGAGCTTCGTTTGTATTGATAAGAAGGCTTATTACAATAATAAATCAAATGTTTTACAACAGAAGCGGAGGATAGGCCCTCCTTGTTTTAACAGTTGGGTTCCTGCGTGGCTGATAGGATGCTCGTTCGGTGCTGCGTCCGAGTCTCGCTTCCCCTTGGACGATCCCGAATCGATAGTTGCTGGCCAGGGACCGGAAGCTTGCGGTTCTCAATGAGGGAGCTTTGGCATAAGGTCGCAGGTTCAACTCTTTGGGAGATTAGCCGCAGCAGAATATGCAGGCACATGCCCGCTTCTTTCATGCTGCTGAAAGATGGGTTTTAACAGGCATAGGGGATGGCATGGGCCATCCTTGATTCATGGGATTTGACCACTAATAGAGGTGAGTGGAGATAGCTTGACTGGCTCTTGATTAATGGGAATGTGAACCACAGGTTGTTCGATAGACGTCCTGCTCGTTCATAGACTCGTACCGTCAATGGTCATTCGAAGAGGCTGTGGGCTCTGGCATTCACGCTACATAGGAGTGGAAAGCGCGCTCGCCTCGTATGCGTGACACACGACTGGCTTCAGAGTGCTTGCGTGGATCTGACGCAACCACAGCCGTAGCATTGGCGCTTCTGCGTCCCTTCCGCTGGACAACTGAGGTGAGCCGCATTTATGAGGGTGCAGGCTGTTTTTCGGCGCGTGTCCGCTCATTCGTACTGTGGACGGCCATCCTGACGGGCGCTGGAGTATTGTGGCCCTCTCCCTTGATTTGTGGGATTTGAGGCCCACTGATGTAACTGTTCCCGCATACTCCCAAGTGGGCAGTTGACAGTGAGCTGGCGAGTCTGCAGGCTTGGGTCTGCAGGCGAGCTTAGGACTGCAGGCAGACTTGGGTCTGCAGGGCGAGCTTGCAGGCGAACGTGGGTCTGCAGGTGAGTTTTTGGGACTGCAGGCGGACTTGGGTCTGCAAGGCGAGCTAGCAGGCGAACTGGGTTTGCAGGCGAGCTGAGATGCGGCAGGCAAAACTTAGGGTCTGCAGGCGGATTTGAGACTGGCAGGCGAATTTCGAGCTGCAGGCGAGCAGGCAGTATGGGTCTGGCAGGCCGATTTGGGACTGCAGGCGAATTTCGAGCTGCAGGCGAGCAGGCAGACTTGGGTCTACAGGCAGATTTGGGAGCTGGCAGGCAGATTCGAACTGCAGGCGAGCTGCTGAGCATGGATTGAAGAATAAGCCAGTAACTTTCAAACCGTAAGTCGGAATTGGACGAGTTATATATGAAAATCGCCTATCTCGACGAGATGGAGTCATCCGAACCTAGCCGAAGGCTTCGGTTCGCTTCCTCCATTTCGCACAAATTCCTTAGCGGTTTGAGAGATATCTGCGTTTTCCCCTCTTTTGCTATTTCGATGAGATTTTAGCAGTTTTGTTCTGAACTTCTCTGATAAGGATTTTAAAGGCAATTTTTATTGCCTACAAAACCCCCTCCAAAGTTTTCAGACATGAATCAGGCCGCATGGGGTCTGAAACACTTTGGATATGAAGTCCCGTAAAGTGATCCTGCTCTTCCATCGCAGCTGATGATCGCCTTCTAGGATTTTGAGGCAAAACCCTCAGCTATCAACGGACTTGATTGTCTTTACAACTGCCGTTTGAGTTGGCTAGCCATGCTGCTTGCCTTAGCATGGTAAGTTGTCGAGGAGTTTCTTTTAGGCCAATGCTAAAATTTCTCCTCTATCCTTAGCCTTTCGAGGCATTTGGATTAAAGTGTAGGGAGCAGTTTAGACTCATGCACCGGTTGGAGTATAAGGGGGCAGTTTAGACTCATGCACCCAGTCGGGTATAAGGGGGAAACTTGTCTTCTCTTAGGGCAAAGATGAAGACGAAACGCCTGATTTGTCTTCTCTTGGGGCAAAGACTAACCCTGAATAGCAGCACATCGCATGGTAGGCCACTAATCAAACAACAACGCCTTTTATGGGAAAGACGGTGCTGGAGAATCAAATCGTTCAGGGACGTATGAGTATGACGACTGATCGGGACAACGTCATTTGCGGGAATGACGGGTCGGCTATCAGAGGTAATCGTTAACGTGATAGGAATTCGCCGCGATCGAGCGACTTTGAGGACCTACCATCCTTTTGAAGAGGGATTGGTAAGTTGATTTTGTCAGAGTGACCGTAACATGACAGTGGGAGTTTAATTGCGATTTTGAGCAACTCTATGGACCTACCATCCTATTTGAAGAGGACTGGTAAGTTGATTTGTCAGAGGTGACGTTAACATGCAAGTGGGGGGTCCCGCCATCCTATTGAAGAGGATTGGCGGGGGATTGTGGCTTTGGTCCTAACTATCTGAAGGTTTTGACCAAGTGGGAGTTTGGTGCAGCCCACCTGAATTTGCTAGTATCGCCTGTTTTGAGCGGTTCGCCATAAATGGAAACCTGGCTCAAGAAGTGGGGCTCGCCTAACTGTTAGGCTCGCCTGATTTGAGGCGGTTCGCCGGATTTGAGCGGTTCGCGCGAAACTGGGAACCTGGCTCAAAGAGATGAGCTCGCCTCAACTGTTAAAGCTCGCCTGATTTGAGCGGTTCGCCGAAACTGGGAACTGGCTCAAAGAGATGGAGCTCGCTTAAGCTGTTAGCTCGCCTGATTTGAGCGGTTCGGCCGAAACTGTGGGAACCTGGCTCAAGAAGTGGAAGTGTAGGGAATAGTTTTAACCTCTTATACCAGTTGGAGGATCAGAAGAAGCAGTTTATACTCGTGTACTTGTCGAGTGTTAAGGGAGCAGTTTAAACTCATGCACCAGTTGGAGTGTAGGAGGCAGTTTAGACTCATGCACCAGTTGGAGTGAAGGAGCAGTTTAATACTTCTTGCACGCAGTGGGGAGTATAAGGGGGCAGTTTAGACTCATGCAGCCAGTTGGAGTGAAGGAGCAGTTTATTACTCTTGCACCAGTGGGAGTATAAGGGGGCAGTTTAGACTCATGCACACAGTTGGAGTGAAGGGAGCAGTTTATACTCTTGCACCAGTGGGAGTATAAGGGGCAGTTTAGACTTCCATGGCACCAGTTGGAGTGAAGGAGCAGTTTTACTCCTTGCCCAGTGGGAGTATAAGGGGGCAGTTTAGAACTCATGCACCAGTTGGAGTGAAGGAGCAGTTTATACTCTTGGCACCAGTGGGAGTATAAGGGGCAGTTTAGACTCCATGCACCAGTGGAGTGAAGGAGCAGTTTATACTCTTGCACCAGTGGCGAGTATAAGGGGGGGGGCAGTTTAGAACTCATGCACGGCAGTGT